TATATATATATATTAGTTTTAGAAGTTTTCATATCAAGGCACTCCAAACCTATTCAATGAATTAATATGATTAGTGATCATTACAAAAATTAACTGAACAAATTTTACATGAATATTTAGAGTCACTTTGAGCTTTATGCATTACCATTTTTAAGTGTAGGCCTATACTGTGAATTTGTCCATAATTGGTTCTGAGCAGCATTTTAATCTTTTCTAGCAGTGTTTGCTCGTACAGGATAGAATGAGATCATTTTCATGTTTTCTAATTTCCCCAGCCTACTGCATATATCACAGGTGAGTCAGGTGAATGCTCATATGTCACTGAAGCCCTTTGAGACTATCAGAGCTGTGAATTATTAACCAGAGGGGCACTACACCTGGGCAGGGCACAACTCTTTGGTTGCAAAGACAAAGTCACAAAATGAGATAGTGTTGGACACAAAGCATCTGAAAATGAAAAGAGCTAAATTGATTAATGGCTAGATTAACTTGAGTTTTGTGAAGCAATTAGTTATTAAATAAAGTGGCAGACTTTCAGAATTTCAGTGGTAGTTTTTTGTGTACTTTAGACTTTTACTGTTTTGAGCTTTAATATATTATGTACAGTTAATGTGCACTTAATCAGTATGCTGCTGGGACCTCAAGGGGGCCCTACACAATAGTATACCATAGAAAAAATATCAATTGTCCTGTCACTTCCTTTAACTATAATAAAACAAGTACATGGAAATCAGTATTATGTAATTGTCTTGATTGTATATGATGCATTCAAGCCCCTGGCTGCTGTTTTTAACAGCTCAGAAACACGTAGCAGGTCACAAGACCGAAGTGCAAAAAACACTAAAATTTGATTGGTCCAATTCAGTACAAGCTATTATATGATTGGTTAATCGTCCTATCAATCATGTGTCCTTTTTCGTGATTGGCTATTATTCCATTTCCGTTTATAGCCTCAGTTTTTTTTTCTACCTTCGCCCTTCTTCCCGTTTGGCTGATTTCTTACATCGCTTCAGCTGCTAATTGTCTTACAGAACGACCTCGCCATGGATGATTTTGACATGCTGAACGCACCCACCGCTGGAAACGGCGTCGGCTCGGAGGAAGACCCCGCTGCCGCATTTTTGGCTCAGCAGGAGAGCGAAATTGCCGGAATTGAAAACGACGAGGGCTTCAGCATCCTTGACGGAGGAGAGGTGCCTTCGTCGCTGAGAGACTCTAACGGTTTGTTGAAGGCTGTGTCCTAAATGTAAAACAAACTTTTATCAATGTAACACATTTTTTTAACACATTTAATTATCTTCAATATTTCAGAGCATACAGCTTTATAAAACGCAGCGTTATAAGTGTTAAATTAGTATAATCCGTAATTCGATACCGTGGTTGGTGCTAATGCTAGCTTAGCTGTGAGCAGATCTGTCAGATCAACATAAGTAATTATCTCTAAAAGCTACACGTAATAGAATTGGCGAAATGAATATCCTGGTTAGATTAATGGGTGCTGTGTTATGAATAATTTATTTGTTAATGAAATCAAGCTGTCTAAAATGATATTTATCATTTTGGTCAGCTTGGTATTAGCTTGACGGCTGTGTTCATTGATAACATGCTAGCACATCTGCTAGCCTCTGGCCTTGATTATCTCATTTCCTTAAGTTTGCTGTGTGTGCTGAGCAACTTAGAAATGCTGACGTGTAGTTTACCTTAATATATGTGTCATGTTTTGTGCTTGATTTCTAATTGTTGTTTCTGTTGTCTTCGTTTTTAGATGGTGCCATCAATGGAGAGTTTCATGGGGTAATACTAACTTATTAAAATGTTCTTGAATTGTTGTTTTTTTTTCTCCTGTTCACAAGTTTTTACTTTTGGGTTTTGTTCAAAAGATAAATGTAATGGTACACATTGCCATTTAACTTTGATTTGGATTATTATTCTTTTTGCTTAATGAATTTACCTATTAAATTTGTACCAGTTTGACCTTTTAGGCACTAAATTCTGGCCCTGTGTTTAATTACGACACTGTCAACAATCTGGAGGTCACTGGTGGAATTTAGTTTAGAATTTAATAAATATGAGAAGCACAACACTGTTTATATTCTGTTAAAAATAAAAATAAAAAATTGGCCGGTCTGCATACATGTTGTGCCCCCCTCATATTGAGAACGCTTTCTTTTGTAGCACCATTTGAGCTCGGCTTTAATTTCCTACTCTGTGGGTTGAGATTCTTGCTGTTGATGACTCCTGCTTCCTTTTCCTGTGCTTGTCATTGCAACATTTTTCCTTCTGCACAGTCAGGACTTCTGGCAGTGAGAGAAACTTGCTTTCAAGAACAAATCTACAGCCTGCAAGTTGGAACGAAAATACAAAGAAATGATTTTCAAATGTATTTTTTTTTTCAGGAAAAGGAATAACTGAATAGTTGCATAGTTGTTAGGATGTTTAAATGGAAAGCTTATTTCTGAAATCCCAGCATCCACAGACTCTGTGTGTGCAAAGTAACACAATTAACTTCATGCTTATTTTCTATATGCAGGAAAGCAACGGCCCATCAGATGCTTATGCAGCAATTTCTAATGCGGATCGACTGCAAGCCGAACCTGAAAGTCTCCGCAAGTGGAGGGAGGAACAAAGAGACAGGCTCGAGCTGCTAGGTGAGAATAAAGTGGAACAATTTCAAGAAGTGACTGATGACGGGCCACTAATCTGAGATTTAACCAGTGATGATGGCGTGTCCATATTCCAAATCACAGATCCAAAAATGTCAACATTTTTTTTCCTAGTATATAATCAACTTAATGTGTTTTCCTACAATACTCATTGTCAAGTGAGATGTTGAACAACTTTGTGAATAAAACACTGTAGTGCTGTAACACATTGGCACAAAGGCAAACATGGGTTTAATAAAGCCTGAGCACCAAAAGAAGCTTGATGATGATCTCCGTCCAGTCTGTGAATGAAAAAACATCATTAAATGGATTGAATGGGCAGTTTACTCCACATGTAGTTAAATTTGCTTTCTAAACAGAAAAGTGTTCAGTGTTTGCTGGAAACTTAAGATAAAGGTCTAAAGTTTAATTTAGTTCAAATATAGAAAAGATTGGTTTTTCAATTTTGTCATCCTATTTTAAGATTAGATTTTGTGCATTACGTTTGATATATAGATCCCAGTGTTTTAAGTAAGGAAACATATCAAAGAAGGTTGCAGAAACCCAGAAATTATTCTCAAACATACCTGCCCTACAGAATATTATCTACAAGCAATAATCCTCTGACAATACAGCAAAGTTGCCGTACATCCAGTCATACAAGTGAAACTGATGACGACTTATTGTGCAGTTTGAATCATGCAGTTATTTAAAGTCAAAATGACCCTCTATCATTCCTCTGACGTTAATCGTTCCCTCCCTCTGTAGATGCCAACTCACGCAAACAGGAGTCTGAGTGGAAGGAGAAGGCCAAGGTAGAGCTGGAGGAGTGGCATGCGAGGCAGAACGAGCAGCTGGAAAAAACCAAAACCCATAACAGGTACTGGCTTGGTTGAAGTGATGGATTTATTTATTAAATGGCTTCACTAACAAATGTATTAGTGTTTCATGTCTTTATAGAACTGAATGATAGTTAATCTTTTGGTTTAAACATTAAAATGTTTTTGGATTTTATAAAAAAAACAACAACAATTAAACGGATTAAATTATTTAACTTGCAATACTAACAAATTTTATCCACATCAATGCCAGAAAAGTGGATTGTAGTAATTTGATTAAATTTGGTGAAGAAGATGAAATGCAAAGACATAAAGATGCTTCTCCCTCAACTTGTGGTGAATCTCTTATTTAGATTGAAACTGGAAATATTCTTGTGTGGTAACCGATAATACTTGTTTCTATCCTCTCTTCCTTTTACTGCATTTCCTCTTCTCTTCTAACTTCTTGCTGCTCTGTCGTTGGGCGGATGTTTGTCCAGAGTGCTGGACGAGGACTTCTACAAGCAGCCCTTCTCTGACCTCATTGGTTATGTGTATGTTGCTCCAACTAACATCCTCCTTTTTGTACACATCTCTTTTTTTCATTTTCGCCTTTGTCACTTCCATCTGTGTCCATTGATGTTTTGTTTTTATTAGATTTAGTTACTTGTGTAGACTTCATGTTTTTCTTCCTTCATTCCATCATTTTAACAGCCTGGATTAAAACCTATTTTGTCTGAAGTTACCATTTGTGGTAATAAATTGAACCCCGTTTCGTTTGCATGTCATTTGTGAGTAGGTGCACGTTAAAATACTTAATAAATCAAAGTCTCCCGCATGTAGTTACACTAGAGGTAGACCGAATAATTGATCTGATTTAAGAGGTTTTATAAACTGCTGGTTAAGTGGCAGTGGATGAAACTGGCTTAGATAGTGACCAGTGGCTATGACGTCCCCAACTATGTGCACACATTACAAGGGCTAGTACTAGGGCTGGGTGATTATTTGATCGCGATTATTGATTGAGAAAAATTCAGATCGATCACAGTGATCAGCTGTGAGCTTCTTACTGGATCAAACATGGCGGAAATGTGCGCGACAACAGCCAATCAGAATCCATCTTCTCCTACTCCACTTCCGTTTGTAAGTGGCGAAGGAAATGCAGACGGAATCGCAGAATTAATGAAACAAAATGTAATCCAGATGCTGAATCTCACAGTTCTCTTACTTGGGCAAGTTTCTGAGGTATTTTGGCCGCTGTCGCTTCCTGTACCTGCTGTTACCTGCTAACAGGCATGCGAGATGTCCCCCTCCTTACACACAGAGAGAGAGGGGGAGAAAAAAGAAAAGTGCGCCGTGATTCGTGGCTCGCTAAAACAAAAGCGTCCTCCAAAAATATGAAGCAGTCTTAGGGTAACGTTTAGGACAGAACAATGTCTCAGCGGTTCTTCATTTATCTGGGGAAGAACTTTTCTGTAAGTTTTATTAGCACACAATGGGCTGGACGCGACGTGAAGACCACTTCCTGTCCGAGTCTCATCACAAACAGCAGCTGAGAGACGCTGCAAACTCCTGAACACTCAGAAGCTGGGAGTTTTTGTCGTGTGTGCAGAATCAGATGTTCTTTCAGAAAAAATGACACAGCGTTGTCCGTTGTTTGATAAAGTGCTGTAAACAGGAGGGGGTCGTGGGGGTGTGGGGTTCCTTCCATAACTAAAGGAAATAATGAGCTTAGATCGTATTCAAGGTGTGCACATATTGTTGCTGTTTGTAGGGTTTATGTTTCTTTATGACATATTTAATGTAAAATTCAATTCTAAAACTTTAATTTTTACAAAAGAATGACTTTATTAATGTGAGATTCTATGATTTACACATAAATGTTTTTTTTCTTGGTAAATACCTTTTTAAACACCTTGCAAAAATAATGTAATGTTCTACTGAACCACAGCTATTTGTTATATTAGTGAACGTAAAAATTATAAATAAATAAAAAATATATTTCTATAGGTATTTATTTGTTCAGTTATTTTCCAGTCATTTTTTAGGTTAACAAAAAAATCGTGATATTAATCGAGATCAGACGATATGAAAAAATTAATCGTGATCATTTTTTTTGCCATATCGCCCAGCCCTAGCTAGTATCCTCCTTCAACACTATCAAGAGTTTCCTAAATATTTCAAATAAAATTATGTAAACAATGACATTACTTTTGAAAATGCTGTTTTTATGTCTGTTTAAACAAAACGAAATATTTTTATTTAAAATCTATTTAAAACGACAGTAAAAGCAAGAGACAGTTTTTACTACCAACAAATGACTGAAGGGTGAATGTAACTAATTCCACTCCTGCTTTACTTCCAGTTTAGTAATCTATTATTCAGAAAGTCCAGCCAGGTGAAACCGTTTAGGATCCTTAATACAAAACAATGGCTTATTGCCTAGAAATGTGATAAAATTTCAATTGAAATATACCCCCCCACACACACACACACAAAATAATAAATAAATGTAAATTATGTACATATATTAAAAAAAAATACTTTTTATTTTATTTATTTTCAGGGCCCTAGTAATGTAATGATTTCTAGAAACGTTATACTAATGAAATATAGGCAGTTATTGATCAATCAATACTCAGCTCTTTTTAATACTTATTGAAGAAACATTTGTCGGTCTACTTCTAAACAACCTGTCACACTGTTGTTTTAGACAACTCGGAAGCCTCTTTTGGACCTAAACATACTGTAATGCTAACAATTAGATTGAACCGAGTCGATAACAAAAACAAGTTAACAGAAGTTGTCTAAAACAACAGGGCCTTTAAACTCTAAAAACTTCTGAGCTCCTCACATTTGTGAAAATGACCCTTTTTTTTTTAAATAATTTTTTATTTTTATTTTTTTCTTTCAAAATGTGCCTGTCATCCCCTTGTCACCATTCATTAATGTGCCATTTCTCAGACAGGTTAAAAAAAACATATGTCCTGAAATCATTCTAACGATTAACATTTGCTTCTGTTTGTATAACCTTTTTAACAAGTCTTTTTGTTTGTTTTTTTGTTTTCTTGACAATAAGTTATTCAGGAATAGGAAACTTGATCGTTTGTTTGAAGCAGTTGTGTTTACAATTGGCATTTATCTGAACATCAGTTAAGGGGCTGTTGAATTGATTAAAATGTGAAGTTTAAATAACCTAAAGATGCATTCACTTCTGGTTAATAAGCTGCAATTTTTTTATTTGTCTTATTCTCAGCTGTTATTGTTACAGGACTGTACAGCATATTTTATTGCTGTTGCCAGTGATAACTGATACACAACTGCTTTAAACTTAACCATTTTTCTGCTGTATGAGACGTTTAGATGCTCTGGAGCTAATAACTTGATAACAGACTCATTTCACTGCAGATATTTTGACTTGAAATGGTCGGACATCAACATCAGAGCTGCATTTGAGTCAAACTAAGTTAGGATGATGGCTGTTCAGTCACTGTATAACCAAAACAAGAGCTGTATTAGCAGCTGCGTCACAAAGTTGAGCTAGTTTCCTTTGTGGTTTGGACTCCTAACAGGCTTCCTCTTCACTCAGGAAGTTTGTGATGTTCATAGAAAGGATCTCAAGACTTAAGTCATGAACAAGAGCAGACAGGTTTTTGAAATTACAGTGCAACATTTTCTGTTTTTCCAGTTTATTTTTTTTCGGTCCGAATCTTTAAGCATTGACCTTCAGTGCACACTGGAGCTGTTGGCAGCTGAGGTTATCGGTTATCTGTCGTTAAAAGGACAAAGTTATCAGTATCGGTTCTTAAAATAAGTTATTGTGCATCCCTGGAATAAAGCCCTCATTACTGCATACAAAGGAGCTGAACTGAAAAGTTCTTGTTTCACTGGTTCATCTACAATCCAGCTCTGTTCATTATCTACTGTTATTAACATTGTCCCTAAATTATCTGGGGTGGCTGTGGTGGATGGAACTGGAAGGTCGCTGGTTCAATCTCCCATTCCATAATAGTAGTAGTAGTAGTAGTAGTGTAGTAGTAGTAGTAGTAGTAGCATTAGTAGTAGTAGTAGTAGTAGTGTAGTAGTAGTAGTAGTAGTAGTATAGTAGTAGTAGTTGTTGTTGTTGTTCAGTTTATTTATATAGCACCAAGTCACAACATGCGTTGTCTCAGGGCACTGTACATAATAAGAACAATCAAAAGAAGAAACCAGCAGATTGTGTTGAATCACTTCATCACAGTCTCCCATCCTGAGCAAACGGTGGAGAGGAAAAACTCCCTGCTAATCAGGAAGAAACCTCCAGCAGAACCAGGCTCAGGACAGGCGGCCATCTGCCTCGACCGGCTGGTTGTCTCAGTCGTTGTGTCCTTGGGCAAGACACTTCACCCACCTTGCCTGCTGATGGTGTTCAGAGGGATTTATGAGCTTATTCAAAGCATTGACTGTCTGAGCAGCTGTCGTTCAGTCTGTTCATAGCCCAACGTTTTAAACCTTGTGGATTTAAGGAATAGAAAGTAGTGTGTTGTAAGGACTAGAGTTGGAGGAATTCAGTTTGACAGATAACCAGGGAGCACAGTTACAGATGTAGAATGCAGCGCTGCTTATTGAGTTAGTCTTAATGTTTCAAGTCATTATAAATGCTGTGAATTACGTCTATATGCCCAGCTGGCTATTCAGTTGCTTAACCTGTGCAGCCTTTGGCTTTTTATTCTCAAACTGTTCAGTCTGCCGTATGGCTGTACGGCGTATTTGTTTCCTAACTTCAACACTGTCACACATTCCCCCCAATTCATCTCTTCTTTTGGCTGTCATTACTGAATTCAGTTTCATTTAAAAATAATATGTGCTTAAATAAAGCTTTTGATGGCCCAGTGGTTAGCACTGAGTAAGAAGGTCCTGGGTTCTATCCCTGGTTTAGACCAAGGGCTTTTTCTGGCCGGAGTTTGCATGTTCTCCTAGTACTTGTTTGGATTTTCTCCAAAGGTGTAAAAAGTACTTGAAAAAAATGACTAAACGTAAAAATACCCTAACAGGAAGACTGATAAAAATTAGTTTCAATGATAAGAAATTACTTAATTAAAAGGAAAAGTACTTTAAAAAGTATTTTTACACACATTAAGAAATGAAGTGTTGAATTTAAGTTAATTTGCTCAACTGTGTTTAGTGGAACCAGTTGACATAACTGGATTAAGTAAATTCAATACTTCATTTCTTAATGTGTGTGAAAATACTTTTTAAAAGTACTGTTATTTTTATTTTTAGTGTATAACAACTTCTTTCATGAGTTCATTCATATTTAAATATTTACCACATAACAAAATGTTACATTTTATAGTAACGTAGTAATTGTATTAATTGTTTTGAATGTAATGAAATAGAAATTAAAACACTGTAAAATAGCAGATCTTTGAAAAAGACAACTTAAGGATTGTAACAAAATAAATGTATTTACTATACACCTGTGGTTTTCTCCCACAAATGAAAAAAGACTATATGTTAGGTTGCCTTCAGGCCCAGGCCTCCCTTGAAAAGGAATCTAATCTCGATGGGATTGTCCTGATTAAAGGTTAAATATTAAAACTAGACAAAGTTGGGCACTCATCAAACCAAAGGCTGCACAGAAATGATTATCTGGAAAAGAAACAATTTCAACATGTTGCTTTTGCATGCAGCTTCAACATCTGCAATGAGCTCATTTTTGTCTTTTGTTTCATCCCCTCTTCCTTCTCTTTCTCTCTTTTATATTCTGACTTGTGAAACTGTTTCTCCCTGTTTTCTTTTCCTATGCACCTTTAAAGCACACACATTAACCATCCTTGCTACCGCCTAGACCAGTTAAGTAAAAAAAGAAAACCGCAGACTTTTTGCATTTCGTTTTGATTTTGATTTATTTTTTTTAAATGGGGTAGATGCAGTTTTGTGACTGTGTGTCGTCATGTTGTACAATTTACCTGCTTGCTCGTTAAATCTACTGCCAAACCTGAAAACTGATGTTGTCATCTTAGTTGTTTTGTGTATTTGTAGTCCGTTGTATTAGTTATCTCCCCCCCCCCCCCCACACACACACACACACACCTTGGTTATTAATTTCTTTACATTATTTTACTTGTATTTGAGCATGTCATAAGGCAGGGTGGAGATGATGAAAATAAGTCTAAACAGAAATATAACAGTGGTTATAAGGTTCATCGGTACTCATTTCCCCCCCCAGTTTATGTTGAGTTCTTCTAAATATAAATTATTTTCAATAAGAAGTTCAAGTAGGTCATAACCTTCATTAAAATCTACATTAGTTTAATTTAGTTTTGTTATTTTACCAACACAGTTGATAGTCAAAATCCAAGAAAACGTGTTTGTTTCAGCACGTGAAAAACATGCTTCACTGCTATGTCAAAATGCATGATTCCAGTCCAGGAGCCCTTTTGGGCTTGGTTAAAAACAAATTACTTCCTCAACAGACAAGTGTGCTGATTTGAAAACCTTTTTAATTGCATCTATTTACCAATTGAACAAAATCCTGTCCAGCAGGTTTGTGCAGAACTGTAATTTCATTGTGCTCTGAACAATGACAATAAAGGTCCATCTAAACTGGCTTTTTAATCAACCTGAATTTTTTTTTTTTGTATCTAAGCTTATTTTCTCTGTTTTATTTATTTATTTTCAAGCGTTCCATATGTACCTCCCTTTACCGTCACTTTAGTGTTGTGTTAGCAGAGCTGGAGGCATGCTGCAGGTAATAAAGGGGTTACCGTTTTTTTTTCCCTCATCGTAGCTGTAGATGCGTTTCGCTGTCTTTGTGGTGGTAGAACCGCTCTGGCCTGAGACTCTGCTGAACTGAAATGTCCAACGCAGATAAAAAGCAATTTGAAAACCTGTTTTCAATCAGACTTCCCAAAAAAAAAAAAAACAGTTTAATTTTGAGAGAACGATGACCAATTAGTGACTTCAGTCGAACCAGTCCAGATGAATCTTTGACCAGAACCTGTGTTGGCCATTAGCAGGGCACTCTGCCACAGCCGTTTTTGTGTAGCTGATGTGATTTCTGCTTCTTCCTCCACTGATTTTCTTCCTCTTGATAATTTATAGGGCAGCTGAGGAAGCCATGATTTCAGATCTGGATGAGAACAACCCTGGCACAGAGTGGGAGCGAGTGGCTCGGCTCTGCGACTTCAACCCCAAGTCTAGCAAGCAGGCCAAAGATGTCTCCCGCATGCGCTCCGTCCTCATCTCCCTAAAGCAGTCCCCGCTCATCCGTTAGGCACCAGCGTGTGCACGGAGCGTCATTCCATAACATTCCTTTTTCCCTTCAACACACACACAAGCCCAACTACTGACAAAGCATTTATATTCCAAAGACAGGGCGGTCTTTTCTGTCCACCTCTGTGTCCAGAACAGCCCTGTTTTCAACACCTAAAGGAAAGAAAGCTGATCTTACCCACTCCTGCCATCTTCAGGCAGTGCTGGTGAGATCTTTAATGCACCTACTCACCATATCTGCTCCTTTTTAAATTGTTCATCTTTGTGTGCACCTCTTCCACAGACCAGTCCAGACCTTGTAAGTTTGCAATTCATTAAAAAAGGGCCAATCTAGACCAGATGTGTACCAGGTTGTGTGGTGTTGCATGACACTGTAAAGGTGATGAGTTGGGACACTAAAAGGGAAGATTTGATGTTTGTTCAGGCCTACAGTTACACTACACCCTGCACCACAAGCAAAATCACTATGCTGTATCATAGTTCTGAACGTGTTTGTCATGAATCTGAGTTGAACCCTTCAGGGTTGAGTGGTTTTATTCACCTTTTCCCCTCTGTTCATCACTTTTTGTTTTCCTCTTCTCATAATGCGTTCAACAATTTATTTTTTTTTTCTTTTTGAAGGACCAAACTCTCAAGGCAAAACTTCAGATTCAGTGTGTGTACTTTAAATTGTGTGTGTAGAGCCTGCTTGTGGCATTTGTTCACATTTCCAGTCTATGCATTTTACTTTGGAACGATTTTCCCCTGTAAAGTCAGACCGAAACGTAGTCCAGTCATTACAATTTATGATCTATTCCTATGTGTTAAAACCTCAGTAGTGTGTGTACTTGATGTGTGTACCTATGTACATATACAGAAGGCAGTATATACAATATATAAAACATTTATGTCACTGAAATTAGTTAAAGGATAACTAGAGATTTGCCAGTTATTGCTTGACCATGTGTACTCATTGTCCTTTTGATTTCAAGATCAATAAAAAAGTAAAAGATTTTCTTTCCTGTCTTTCTTAAGCTGCTGGTTTAAATGAACGTTGTTGATGGCTGGGGTTTTAGACTCTGGCATGTTTTAAGATATTTTCTTGGTTTAATTTAATTGGAACATTTAGAAATAAGTCCTTTGCCTCTAGGCTCATGATCAAAGTAGTTGAAACTTACATTTGAGGGTTAAAAAGTTGTTTGTTATTCATCTAAAGAGAAGTTTTTAGTATAAAAGTCACCACATAAACATCAGTTTTCTATGGATTGAGCATGCCAAATTTATTTCAGACTGAACGACAAAAGAAAATTTACAGTGGCAACCAAATTAAAGTATAGACTAAATTATTATTAAAACACAAACGGTTATTGCCAAAGTGCTGAACAATAAAAGGCAAAGATTTAAAAGAGAAACCATAAAAGAAATTTGAAAACTTTTTCCTAATTACCAATGTTGAAAGTTTAGAAAATAAACATGATGATTTTCTAAACATGATGTCCCAGTAGCTTTCAAACCCCAAAACGCATTACGGCAAAGGCTGGTTCACCCCAAAGATCC